GGACCCCCACACTACAGCCCCAACAGCCCCCGGACCCCCACTCTACAGCCCCAACAGCCCCCGGACCCCCACACTACAGCCCCAACAGCCCCCGGACCCCCACACTACAGCCCCAACAGCCCCCGGACCCCCACACTACAGCCCCAACAGCCCCCGGACCCCCACAATACAGCCCCAACAGCCCCCGGACCCCCACAATACAGCCCCAACAGCCCCCGGACCCCCACAATACAGCCCCAACAGCCCCCGGACCCCCACAATACAGTCCCAACAGCCCCCGGACCCCCACAATACAGCCCCAACAGCCCCCGGACCCCCACACTTCAGCCCCAACAGCCCCCGGACCCCCACAATACAGCCCCAACAGCCCCCGGACCCCCACAATACAGCCCCAACAGCCCCCGGACCCCCACAATACAACCCCAACAGCCCCCGGACCCCCACAATACAGCCCCAACAGCCCCCGGACCCCCACAATACAGCCCCAACAGCCCCCGGACCCCCACAATACAGCCCCCGGACCCCCACAATACAGCCCCAACAGCCCCCGGACCCCCACAATACAGCCCCAACAGCCCCCGGACCCCACAATATAGCCCCAACAGCCCCCGGACCCCCACAATACAGCCCCAACAGCCCCCGGACCCCCACAATACAGCCCCAACAGCCCCCGGACCCCCACAAAACAGCCCCAACAGCCCCCGGACCCCCCCAATACAGCCCCAACAGCCCCCGGACCCCCACAATACAGCCCCAACAGCCCCCGGACCCCCACAATACAGCCCCAACAGCCCCCGGACCCCCACAATACAGCCCCAACAGCCCCCGGACCCCCACAATACAGCCCCAACAGCCCCCGGACCCCCACAATACAGCCCCAACAGCCCCCGGACCCCCACAATACAGCCCCAACAGCCCCCGGACCCTCACAATACAGCCCCAACAGCCCCCGGACCCCCACAATACAGCCCCAACAGCCCCCGGACCCCCACACCTAATCAAGACGGCGGCGTTCCCCCTCCAAAATACTTCTCAACACTTATATAGATTTTTATTGGCATTTCCACTGGAGTGAAGAAGAGGATGGTGCCCAAGTATTCCAATCTCAGGGATGCCGCCCCTTTATAAGGGACCCCCAGGACCCCCTCCTAGGGCACCACATGCTAAGAGAGGCCACTCCTGCCGCTGGGAGCCCACACCGGTGGCTGGGGACGACGGTCTCTCACTCTAGGAATGGATGCAGTTAGGAAGGGTAGGTGGAGCAGGAGGAACAGGAGGAACAGCAGGTGGAGCAGGATGATGAACAGCAGGTAGAGCAGGAGGACAAGGAGGAACAGCAGGTGGAGCAGGATGATGAACAGCAGGTAGAGCAGGAGGACAAGGAGGAACAGCAGATGGAGCAGGAGGACAAGGAGGAACAGCAGGTGGAGCAGGAAGACAAGGAGGAACAGCAGGTGGAGCAGCAGAAGGAATAGCAGGTGGGGCAGCAGGAGGAACAGCAGGTGGAGCAGCAGGAGGAACAGCAGGTGGAGCAGCAGGAGGGACAGCAGGTGGAGCAGCAGGAGGGACAGCAGGTGGAGCAGCAGGAGGGACAGCAGGTGGAGCAGCAGGAGGGACAGCAGGTGGAACAGCAGGTGGAACAGCAGGTGGAGCAGCAGGTGGAACAGCAGGTGGAGCAGCAGGAGGGACAGCAGGTGGAGCAGCAGGAGGGACAGCAGGTGGAGCAGCAGGAGGGACAGCAGGTGGAGCAGCAGGAGGGACAGCAGGTGGAGCAGCAGGTGGAGCAGCAGGTGGAGCAGCAGGAGGGACAGCAGGTGGAGCAGCAGGAGGGACAGCAGGTGGAGCAGCAGGTGGAGCAGCAGGAGGGACAGCAGGTGGAGCAGCAGGAGGGACAGCAGGTGGAGCAGCAGGAGGGACAGCAGGTGGAGCAGCAGGAGGGACAGCAGGTGGAGCAGCAGGAGGGACAGCAGGTGGAGCAGCAGGAGAGACAGCAGGTGGAACAGCAGGTGGAGCAGCAGGAGGGACAGCAGGTGGAGCAGCAGGAGAGACAGCAGGTGGAGCAGCAGGAGGGACAGCAGGTGGAGCAGCAGGAGGGACAGCAGGTGGAGCAGCAGGAGGGACAGCAGGTGGAGCAGCAGGAGGGACAGCAGGTGGAGCAGCAGGTGGAGCAGCAGGAGGGACAGCAGGTGGAGCAGCAGGAGGGACAGCAGGTGGAGCAGCAGGAGAGACAGCAGGTGGAACAGCAGGTGGAGCAGCAGGTGGAGCAGCAGGAGGGACAGCAGGTGGAGCAGCAGGAGGAACAGCAGGTGGAGCAGCAGGTGGAGCAGCAGGTGGGACAGCAGGTGGAGCAGCAGGTGGAGCAGCAGGAGGGACAGCAGGTGGAGCAGCAGGTGGAGCAGCAGGAGGGACAGCAGGTGGAGCAGCAGGTGGAGCAGCAGGAGGGACAGCAGGTGGAGCAGCAGGTGGAGCAGCAGGAGGGACAGCAGGTGGAGCAGCAGGTGGAGCAGCAGGAGGACAGCAGGTGGAGCAGCAGGAGGGACAGCAGGTGGAGCAGCAGGTGGAGCAGCAGGAGGGACAGCAGGTGAAGCAGCAGGAGGGACAGCAGGTGGAGCAGCAGGTGGAGCAGCAGGAGGGACAGCAGGTGGAGCAGCAGGAGGGACAGCAGGTGGAGCAGCAGGTGGAGCAGCAGGAGGGACAGCAGGTGGAGCAGCAGGTGGAGCAGCAGGAGGGACAACAGGTGGAGCAGCAGGTGGAGCAGCAGGAGGGACAGCAGGGAGCAGCAGGAGGGACAGCAGGTGGAGCAGCAGGTGGAGCAGCAGGAGGGACAGCAGGTGAAGCAGCAGGTGGAGCAGCAGGAGGGACAGCAGGTGGAGCAGCAGGTGGAGCAGCAGGAGGGACAGCAGGTGGATCAGCAGGTGGAGCAGCAGGAGGGACAGCAGGTGGAGCAGCAGGAGGGACAGCAGGTGGAGCAGCAGGTGGAGCAGCAGGAGGGACAGCAGGTGGAGCAGCAGGAGGGACAGCAGGTGGAGCAGCAGGTGGAGCAGCAGGAGGGACAGCAGGTGGAGCAGCAGGTGGAGCAGCAGGGACAGCAGGTGGAGCAGCAGGTGGAGCAGCAGGAGGGACAGCAGGTGGAGCAGCAGGTGGAGCAGCAGACAGCAGTGGAGCAGCAGGTGGAGCAGCAGGAGGGACAGCAGGTGGAGCAGCAGGTGGAGCAGCAGGAGCAGCAGGTGGAGCAGCAGGAGGGACAGCAGGTGGAGCAGCAGGTGGAGCAGCAGGAGGGACAGCAGGTGGAGCAGCAGGTGGAGCAGCAGGAGGGACAGCAGGTGGAGCAGCAGGTGGAGCAGCAGGAGGGACAGCAGGTGGAGCAGCAGGTGGAGCAGCAGGAGGGACAGCAGGTGGAGCAGCAGGAGGGACAGCAGGTGGAGCAGCAGGTGGAGCAGCAGGTGGAGCAGCAGGTGGAGCAGCAGGAGGGACAGCAGGTGGAGCAGCAGGTGGAGCAGCAGGTGGAGCAGCAGGTGGAGCAGCAGGTGGAGCAGCAGGGACAGCAGGTGGAGCAGCAGGTGGAGGTGGCAGCAGGTGGAGCAGCAGGTGGAGGAGGGACAGCAGGTGGAGCAGCAGGTGGAGCAGCAGGAGGGACAGCAGGTGGAGCAGCAGGTGGAGCAGCAGGAGGGACAGCAGGTGGAGCAGCAGGTGGAGCAGCAGGAGGGACAGCAGGTGGAGCAGCAGAGCAGCAGGGGACAGCAGGTGGAGCAGCAGGTGGAGCAGCAGGAGGGACAGCAGGTGGAGCAGCAGGTGGAGCAGCAGGAGGGACAGCAGGTGGAGCAGCAGGTGGAGCAGCAGGAGGGACAGCAGGTGGAGCAGCAGGTGGAGCAGCAGGAGGGACAGCAGGTGGAGCAGCAGGAGGGACAGCAGGTGGAGCAGCAGGAGGGACAGCAGGTGGAGCAGCAGGTGGAGCAGCAGGAGGGACAGCAGGTGGAGCAGCAGGAGGGACAGCAGGTGGAGCAGCAGGTGGAGCAGCAGGAGGGACAGCAGGTGGAGCAGCAGGAGAGACAGCAGGTGGAGCAGCAGGTGGAGCAGCAGGTGGGACAGCAGGTGGAGCAGCAGGTGGAGCAGCAGGAGGGACAGCAGGTGGAACAGCAGGTGGAGCAGCAGGTGGAGCAGCAGGTGGAGCAGAGGAGGGACAGCAGGTGGAGCAGCAGCAGCAGGGACAGCAGGTGGAGCAGCAGGTGGAGCAGCAGGAGGGACAGCAGGTGGAGCAGCAGGAGGGACAGCAGGTGGAGCAGCAGGTGGAGCAGCAGGTGGAGCAGCAGGTGGAGCAGCAGGTGGAGCAGCAGGAGGGACAGCAGGTGGAGCAGCAGGTGGAGCAGCAGGAGGGACAGCAGGTGGAGCAGCAGGTGGAGCAGCAGGAGGGACAGCAGGTGGAGCAGCAGGTGGAGCAGCAGGAGGGACAGCAGGTGGAGCAGCAGGAGGGACAGCAGGTGGAGCAGCAAGTGGAGCAGCAGGAGGGACAGCAGGTGGAGCAGCAGGTGGAGCAGCAGGAGGGACTGCAGGTGGAGCAGCAGGAGGGACAGCAGGTGGAGCAGCAGGTGGAGCAGCAGGAGGGACAGCAGGTGGAGCAGCAGGAGGGACAGCAGGTGGAGCAGCAGGCGGATCAGCAGGAGGGACAGCAGGTGGGACAGCAGGTGGAGCAGCAGGAGGGACAGCAGGTGGAGCAGCAGGAGGGACAGCAGGTGGAGCAGCAGGTGGAGCAGCAGGTGGAGCAGCAGGAGGGAGAGGAAGCGAGGACTTACCTTACAGCGGGAGAGTAATAAAGGCAGAAGGGTCGACTGGGGAGCTATAGTGAAGACTAATAGCTGAGACCATCCCACTCTTGCCCACTGCCACGCCCACACCAGCCGCCCAGCCGCCCACACGCCCACACCAGCCGCCCACACCAACCGCCTACACGCCCACACCAGCCACCAACACCCCCACACCAGCCGCCCACACTAGCCACCAACATGCCCACACCAACCGCCTACACGCCCACACCAGCCACCAACACGCCCACACTAGCCGTCAACACGCCCACACCAACCATCAACACGCCCACACTAGCCGTCAACACGCCCACACCAACCACCAACACGCCCACACCAGCCGTCAACACGCCCACACTAGCCGTCAACTCGCCCACACCAACCATCAACACGCCCACACCAGCCACCAACACGCCCACACCAGCCACCAACACGCCCACACTGGCCGTCAACACGCCCACACCAACCGTCAACACGCCCACACCAGCCACCAACACGCCCACACCAGCCACCACCACGCCCACACTGGCCGTCAACACGCCCACACCAGCCACCAACACGCCCACACCAGCCACCACCACGCCCACACTGGCCGTCAACACGCCCACACCAGCCGTCAACACGCCCACACTAGCCGTCAACTCGCCCACACCAGCCGCCCCCTAACATTACTCCATCATTAAAAGTGGAACCAGCTGAAACAGTAATATGTTATGCTGATGATATTTGTATTATGGCACACAGTAAACCAAGACTACAAGTGTTACTTGATGCATTCTCCAAGACAGTAGTAGAATGTGGCCTCATAATCTCTGTTGATAAAACAAGGGTTCTTATTCCCCATTCTTTTCATGTTAACTATACTATTAATGGAGTGCCCGTGGAGACTTGTGAGTCTTATAAATATCTTGGAGTCGAGGTTAATGATACAAATCTCATCAGCAACCTGCGTAAAAAACTTGTTGAGCGTCTTAAACCTCTCAGAACTCTTGTTGGCAAAGGATTTGGCATTAACATAAAATATGCTCGTAGTTTTTATATTGCCTTTATACGATCTGTTGTTGATTATTATGCCTTGTATCTTCTTAATTTTTCTCTTAAACAATTACAAGGCCTAGATGTAGTACAGAATGATGCCAAGCGCATCATCCTGGGTTGTCCTAGAACTGTCAGAATTGTTAACATGAGAAAGGAACTAAAATTACCTTCCATTTACAAAAAAATTGTTCTACTTAGTACTATGTTTTGCGTCAAAACTTTGAAAAATAATGGTCCCCCCAGCTCTATTCAAATTAAATTGAGATCCATTCTAAACAATTCTGACTTCCCTCAATCCGCCGCAAAAAGCTCCCTACAGTGTGTGGCTCAGTTGTTGTGCCTATAATCTTCTGAAACTGAATGTGTCTCTTAACCCTGATAAAACTCATCACTATATTCCCCCTTGGAAAGATGTGCAGGTCTCTCTGCATTATACTCCCATCAATGTAAAACAAATGTATGACACTGAAACTATGAGATGTATAACATTAGAAGCTAATGACAGTCATCTAAAAAATCTCAAACCGACTGAATCCTACGCCTTTACTGATGGCTCTGTGCAGTTAGGCACTGGTAGAACAGGTTGTGCATGTGCAGTATATAAAGGGAATGAAATGATCATGTCTAGTACACAGAGATTGAACAACTGGGCAAGCACGACACAGACTGAGCTATTGGGCATTTATCTAGCCACTGAATACCTTAAGCTCAATGGTGGTGGAGTTATTTTCTGTGACTCTAAAAGTGCTCTGTAGTCCTTAAATAACCCATCACAATGTATGTCTGAAGTAGCTTGTAACATTAAATGGAATGTAATTTTTGCCAATGATAATAACTCTTGTATAAAACTTGTGTGGATCCCATCCCATGTTGGAGTTGGAAAACATGACTTTGTAGATCGATTGGCCAATGAGACTTGCAGGAAAGAAAACACTGATTATGACTTTGGACTATCTAATGCAATTATTAGAAACATACAATTTAAAGAAATTAATTCAGATTTAGAAGAAGTAAGAATTGCCCAGAGACCTGAAAGCCTCAGTATTAAAAGCTATAACAAGTTTTGTAATAATAGGTATTTGTATGGTCAGCACAGTAACCGGACCAGGCAATGTGATGTAGTCATTGCAAGTCGCCTTGGCTATAGACACATCTGGCAGGTTAGTGAGGCTGAGCCACTACCAGAATACTCAGATTGTAAACTCTGTGATAAACCTCTAATGCATTCACTAGAACACTATATTGTTGAATGTGAAACCGTAAAAGACTTTAGACCTCCTGGCCTCTTGTACCACCAACTGTGTAACTATTTTATTGACTCAGGTGTTCTGGACGATATCCTAACAATTTATCCAAAATTTGCTTGTCCATTTTAAAGAATGAAGAACAATTTTATTTATATTACTTCTAAGCTGCATCACTTACGAACCCTGCCCTTGTGTGGCAGTGCACAATAGAAAGTTGTTTTCACATATCCATACATTAAAACATTGATTTTAACCATGATATATATATGCTTCAGCCTACAGTTTAGACCTATTGTCTTGTGTATGACCCTCTGTCCTGCGTGACAGTGAATACCACCATTATCCTCACTTTAATATGACTTAATTTAAATCCTCAGATTAGGCAAAATTGTAATTAATTTTGTCAATAGAGATGTTAATAATAATAATAAAAGCCGTGTTCACTAGGACAGAAAAGGAGGGAGCCAGCCAGCCAGACGTCCAGACGAAAGGTTCGTCTGGTGGTGGCTGAACAAGAGGAGCGAGGCC